CCCAAGGGTGACAGGGGTGAGGGCAAGGGTGGGCAAGAAACCTCCAGAGCAGGAGGGTCTGGGGGGACCCCGAGGCCCCAACCCAGACACTGACTACAGACCCCACTGCTACCCTGCCTGCTTGGTCCAACTCCCGGGGCCACCAGTCTGGTGCTCTGGGAGTGACGTGACTTGGGGGCGGCAGGGGAAGGGGACACAGCTCTCCCACACCAAAGCACAGGAGGGGAGGCCTGGGTCATGGATGGACAGACAGACAGTGTGGCTCAGACCTAGCCTTTTGCCAGAGAGCAGGCTCTGGAGTTGATGGGCCGCCCACCAGCCGGTGGCACATCCCGTTCTCCTACCTGCTCAGCCAGTTTCCACATCGGTATGTGGGTACGTGGGACTGAGTGACGTCCCCCACTGCCTGCCCCGCTGACAGCACCCGGCCCCTCCCTGCCTGCTCAGGCTCCTCCCCCACCTTCTGGGGTCACCAGCAATGGGCACCCTCCCTGGCCCCTGGCTCCCCACTCCCCAGTCCTGCCTCCGCCCATGGCGCCCTCTGCGCCTGGGGCACCCCATAATGGCTGCCCTGCCTCCCTCCCAGCCAGCGGCCACTCACAGGAGCCCCTCCTCCACAGAGCCCAAGGGGGAAGACACAGGGAGCTCAGCTCGGGGCTTCTCGGGGGTGGGGGCGTCAGGTCTAGGAAAGAGTGCCACCCCCAAAACTGGGCCCTGAGCCTGTCACTAGGACTGGGGGTCACGACAGTGGGTCCCCTGCCTGTGGCCTCCAGCTCCACTCTCCGCCCTATCTGGGACAGTCCCTGGGGCCTGGGGTCACAGTGTGTCCTCTCTACCCTATCCAGGGCTCCTCAGGCCACGGACCCTGCCCCCTGGCCAGTCTCCCCATGGCCCCGCTGCCCAGGACGGTCCGAGAAGAGTGGGCAGCGAGGGCTCAGGGCTGAGTCCCACCCCCGAGTGCCCGGGCCGGGCCCTCACCGCAGGCTGCCGGAGGCGGGCTGGCCGGGCTGGTAGGGCCCAAGCTGCAGGCGGCACACGAGGGCACCCAGGGCCTCACAGTCCTCCGGGTCGCATGGGTAGCGCGCCGTCAGCACGTTGGCCTTGGCCTCCTCGTAGAGCAGCCGCAGGACCTCCTCCTCTCGGATCTGCGGGCCGCGGGGTGGGGACGGGGATGCTCAGCTGGGCCGCAGGGACCAGGGCGCTGAGCACAGGCCCCAGAACCAAGGTTCTACTCGGCCTCACCTGGAGCTCCCGCCGCTTCGGGAGAAACACATTCCTTCGGAACTGCAGGGAAGGCTCGTCTGGGGGGAGAGACTGCGTCACCACCCAGCACATGCTCAGGGGCCCCCTCCCTGCCAGAGCCCCAGGGAGACGCCCTCTCCAGCAGAGACCAGGGCGGAACCAAGCAGGAGGGTCCCCGGTGGCGGTGGTGACACTGACCCATGGCCACGTCTTCATGCGGTGCATCGGTGAAGCGCAGGAGCAGCTCAGTCCACTGGCGGCCTAGCTTGTAGGGCTGGTGCCTGGGCTTCAGCTGCACCTCTGCAGGGCGAGAGGGACAGCGGCTTTGGCCCAGTCCTCCCTCCACCCCCATCGCCAACACATGCATGAGAGCTGGCACGGGCACCGTAGACGGGCAGCTATCGGGAGGGCCGGGGGGCTTCCCGTGCACTCACCCCACGTGCCCCGCCCTCCCATGTCACCTCTGGGGCGGCAGAGGCTCCGAGGGGTTCCGCTGCCTGCCCACAGTCACAGCACGGGGGCGAGAGGCCAGGCTCCTGGCTGGCTGGAGCCGAGGCCTCGCTGTGCGGTGTGCGTGTAGTGACAATGTCCTGCCAGCCTGACCCCCAGGGTTCTGATTGGATCCTGATCTTGAGCTAATATGGCAGCTACAGCCCCCAGGACGGTCCCCACCCACCCAGCCCCTGGAGCCCCAACAACACCTTCCCCTGACAGGAAGTAACTGCCCACCAACTCCACCCACGCCCCACCCTGCTGGGGTCCTCAGAGATGCAGAGGCAGTGAGTGCCCCAGGCCAGGGGATGGAGTCGGGTCTTGGCACACATGGGGTGGGGGGGCCCCCAGGGCAAGAGCCACCCTCCTCTGGAATCCTCCAGCCCGCTCAGCGGCGCTGAGAACCCCAGGATTAGCACTGGGGTGGGGCTCCAGCCCCCAGGGATACCCCCACCCTACACCCCAGCTGTCCCCTGGTCGGGAAGAGACCAGGAGAGGGGAAGTCCCTGGAGCCCTGCCCTGAGAGGTCAGCATGGAGAAAGCCACACCCTCCCAAATCCAGGGTCAAAAGGGTGACCCTGGGCCCTGTCCACCTCCTGTCTCCGAGGGTCTCAGTGGGGAACAACAGTCACCATGTCACCCAGGGACAGGACGGGTTGGGGGAGGGGGGGTTGCTCTGGGAACAAAGTGGGTGTCCGCCTCTGGACAGGGCGGTGCCCCAGAGTGGGAACACAGCAGCCCATTCAGCCTCTCTCGGGCAGGAGGGGGGGAGCAGGAATGTGAAGGGGGGGGGGGCAGAGGAAGTGGGAGGAGGGATGGGCCCTGGGCCTCTTGCTGCTGGACAAGGGCGAATGAGCGGGCATACCAAGGAGGGCCACCCTCTGGCTTCCCTGAGACCCAGTCAGTGGCCCACACCAAGGGAGGGTCCCCGAGAGAAGAAGGACCCACTGGAAGGGGCAGGAGAGGGCCACAGCATCGCAGCTGACCAGCGGTGATCCTCCCTCCCTTACCCACATCCTCCCTCGGGGAGGAAGCCGTCACTGGGACCTTGGGCCTTGCCCTCTCAGCCTCCTGAAGGGGTCCAGTCCCGCTTTCAGGCTGGTCAGCGCACTGACGCTCAGGACCCTGGGAGCTCCACCCCGCTGACCGAGCAGCTGGCTCACAGGCCGATTCACCAGGGGCCACCTTGGGGATGGGGGCCACCGCCCCCACAGACACTCCACCTCCCCTCGGGCTCTCAGCCAGAACCACCCAGAGGGCACGCCTTGGACCACCCCAAGGCCAGAAACCAGGCTCTCCGCCTCCTTCCCTGGGGAAAAGGCTGAGCCCAGCCCCAGGGGCATGCCTGCCTTCCACGAGCTTGAGCCCCGGAGGTGGCCACCCAGGAGCTCTGCAGTTCTGCTCTGAGCCCCAGGGCATGAGGCCTTGGTGTTCCCATGGCTCAGAGGCGGCAGAGGTCAAGGAAGAGAATTCTGCTACTTCTGCACGCTCTCCCCCCCAAGCCCTGCTCCCCGTGCCTCAGGGACCCCGACTCAAGGCCCGGGGCAGACTCGGGCCCTCTTCAGGCACCAGCAGAGCCAGGAGCCCTCACAGGCTGGCTCCAGACGACCCCAAGCCCAGCCTTCCCTGGGGACCCAGTGGCCAGATGGGCCAGATGAGCCCCTCTTCCCAAACTGGCCAGTGCCCTCCCCGTGGGGGCTTCTCATCGCCACGTCTTACCCAGCAGAGGGGAGACAAGCCAGAGCGCGAAGACCTCCAGGGCCGTGTCTGGGAGCTGCAGGACCTCTCGGACCACACGGTGCAGCTCATGAGCACTGAGTGCAGGCAGGTTCTCCACGGCCAGGGGCACCACTGTGTCATCCGCCAGGTATACCAGCACATCCGCTGCTGAGATGGACACCAGGACAGGTTGGCAGGGGCTCGCCGTTCAGGTGCAGTCAGCCGGGCCCAGGCACTCTGACCCCCACCCTAGCAGCCATGGGCAGCTAGGGCTCCGTGCCTGAGGCAGAGGCCCAGCTTCCCCCACCAACCCCGATGAGATTATGTCTGACAGGACTTCCCCTCAAACCACCCCCACAAGCCCAGGTACCAGCCAGCCCCTCCCGCCAAACTCCAAGGGTTCAGCCTGGACTGACCACGGTCCCCTACCCCAACAGTCCTGCTCAGCTTCTGCCCTGAAGAGCATTCCACAGGCGGGAAACTAATGGTGACAGTGGCTAGCGTGTCAGGCTAAGGAAGGCGGGAGGGCCAGCCAGTTGCTGGAAAGCCACTCTCTGGCCCAGGCGAAGAGGTGAACAAGGTAAAGCAAGTTCCCATTCTTGGCTTCTTCCCAAGACCCTCCCGTCTCCAGACTCACTCCTGGGACCCATGGTAAGGGCCTGACTCAGGCCAGGGGCTGCCCAACCCAAGAGGTCGATGATCCTGCGGGGATGGCTGAGGTCATGTGGAGTGACAGGGAGACCTTGCAAAGCACCCAAAGGAATCCCACGGCCATCATGTCAATTTTGACAGGAAGCAATTCCTCAGGGCAGAGTAAACTGCTCCCCGGGGCCCCCAAGTGGTTCTCAACCTTCCTAATGCCTGGACCCTTTCATACAGGTCCTTATGTTGCAGTGAACCCCACCCCCCCAGCCATAAAATGATTTTCGTTGCTATTTCATAACTGTCATTTTGCTACTGCTAGGAATTGGGTGACTCCTGTGAAAGGGTCATTCGACACCCCCCAAAGGGGTCAAGACCCGCAGGTCAAGAACCACTGCTGTAACCCTTTATGGGAGCAGAAAGCCTGCCTTCTCGTTCTCCAGAGCTGCAGCCGTTGGGTTGAACTGCTAACTTTGTGGGTTCCAATCCCATCCCAGCAACAGCCAGCTGACTGACTTCTGCCAGCCAGTTAGTGTGCCAGTTATCTCATCTGTAAACAGGGCTCTCAATCAAACTTGAGCACCTGTGGCAGGAAGGCACCGGTGATCACGGATGCAGGTAAGGGGCCTCCGGCCAGACTCCATCTGGCTCCAACAGCCACTTGCTTCCCAGCTCATAAAATAATTTCCAGGCAGCTGGAATTCAGCCGCACAAAGGCCAGCGGGTCCCAGGGCTCCTGTGACTTAACCCCTCTTGGGCCCCGATTTCCTTTCCATGAAGCAGAAAATGACCTGCAGTCAAATGGCATTGAGAACAAAGACAGTGAACGCGTCACTTGGCTGTCACTGCAGGGGCATCGTGATTGTGCTGAGATCCACCACTCCTTGGGAGACCGGCACCTGGGGCTTTCTCATCCCGTTAATTGTTACAGTGGTGGAAGCCCACCCATGGGGGTTCTATCCTGTTCTATAGGGTCACTGTGAGTCTGAATTGACTCGGTGGCAGTAAGTTAGTTTGAGGTAGATGCGGCTCTAAAGAGGCCGGGGCACCAGGCGGCTCCAGGTCCAGGGCTGGGCCACCGGGCTCTGTCACACCTCAGGACACTGCACTCAGTGTGACAGCTCATTTTTAGCGAAAGTGATGACCAGCCACGGCCCCTCCTCCAGCGCTGGCTGGGTCGCAGGGCGGTGAGGAGGGTGGGCGCAGGACCCACCTCGCGCTCCCACGGAGGACACGCTGCTTCGCTGGGACCGCTCCGCAGGACCAGGTTGCCCGGCACTGCCTTCGGCCTCGTCCATCTGCAGAGGGAAAGGGGTGCAGGCGTTCCTGGGGGGTCCAGGGAAGAGGGGGGGCTACTCAAACTCCCCCTGGACTCTTCCCTGGGGAAGGGGTTCCTGGGCTGGGTCTGCGAGGCTGGAGGAAGAGGGTCCTCCGACGCCTCCGGGTCAGAGCTGGGCGGGTCGGGGATCCGGGCTGGGACGGACCCTCAGCAGCGGGGGCTGAAGCTCGGATGCCCTGGATGCCCAGGCGGGACCCGGCCAGCTCCGATGGCCACGGGGGCTAGACAGGGGGTCTCACCTCGCAGGGACGCAGGCGCCCGCCGCTTCCGCCAGGCCCCGGTCCGGACTCGGAGCCCAGCCCCGGATCGCAACAGCCCCGGCGGCCGCCGAGCTGC